TTTCATTCCCAGTTTTTGTTCATTCACTCCTTTACTCGATCAATACCTACTAAATACCCACTATAAATCAGGCCCATGGTGGGTCCCTCTCTCTCTCTCTTTTTAAGATCTATATTCATTTACGCATTTATTTTTGAGAGAGAGGGAGCAAGCAAGCCTGTGAGCTGGGGGAAAGGGGCACAGGGAGAGCAAAAGAGAGTCTCCAGCAGACTCCCTGCCGAGCAGGGAGCCCAACGCGGGGCTCGATCTCAGATCCCAGGACCCTGAGATCATGACCCGAGCCAAAATCAAGAGTCAGATGCTTAACCAACTGAGCCACCCAAGCGCCCCCCTGGGGTCCTCTTGAAGTGCAACGTAATCTGCTCTCCTGGTGCTTGTCTGGAGAAGAGAGACAGTAGGATAATCATGGATAAATAAATAACCTTCAAACTTTGGTGAAATATGAAGAAAAAATATAGATAGGAAGCTATGAGAGATGAACAGAGACATTTGACCTAGTCTGGGAGGGCTTCCCTAGACAGGCGAAGTTTGAGCTGAGACATGAAGACCAGTGGGAGTTATCTAGTTAAAGGGTGAATTTAGGGGAGAAACGTGTTCCAGGCAGAGGAACTAGCATGTGTAAAGGTCCTGAGGCAGGAGGGAACATGGCATGTGTAGTGGCTGTCAGAAAGCCAGTGTGTCAAGAGCAAAAAGACACAATTTGCATCTATCCACAAACCTTTTTCCTTAATGTGGCCTGAGGAGATTCTTCTTGCAAACAAAAGCCCAGTGGACAAAAGCATCTAGTATATACCCCAGGTGCTCAGAGGGGTAGAAGATCAGTGAAATGACTTCATCTTTGCTCTACAATTTACTAGCTGTGTGACCTTGGGCAAGTTACTTAATCTCTCTGAGGCTCAGCTTGTGCATTTGGAAATGGAGATAGTAAAAAATGTACAGAGTGGTGGTGAGCATTAGATTTGACAATACCTGGGTGCCTGCCTAGGTCGGTTTGTGGTGCATGGTAGGTGCTTACTACACACTTTTGGTATTAGCCAAATGACTGAGAAAAGACTAGGGCTCAATAAGAACTCATTTCTTTTTTGTACTCCAGTGAGAGTGGAGGTGGGGCCAAGACTAAATACAGCGTTCAAAACAAAGTAAACAATACAAGAGAAATAAGGGATGCACCAAGGCAGAGCTCAGTTATTAGCACAGGTAAACACAGCCATGTGTAGAGGCTGCCATATCCAGGGAGCTCGGGCATGAAGTATGCTGAGCCCAGAGGGGAGAGAATGAAGCTGGAGCTTCATTCTAGAAGAGGGGAGCTGGAGAAGGGGATTGTGTGGGGCTTCAAAGGCCAGCTCCAGTCTGGGACAGAAAGTCCAGTGACAGTCATTAGTACCTATGAACTCCATGAGGGTAGGAGCACTTGGCTCTCGTTCCCCCAGGTTCTAGCAGGTGCTCAGCATTGAGTGGATGGAGCAGTGATGGGTATCTAGGCATGGAGTCACATCCCTCTCATCCGGTGTGTAGAGATCAGGAGGGGCTGTATTGTGGCTTTGAGCAATCTGTCCCTCTGTTCCAGGGTTCTGCCCCTAAAGGCTACCAGCAGCAGAATACAGGGCTAAAGTGGAGGGCAGTGCCAGGGATTGAGAGACGAGCAATGAGGGCCCTAGCCATGGGGCTTGGGGTCAGGACAGGGTTTATCCCAGAAAGAATACAGACCTTGGCAGAGTTACTGAGAAGGCAAAGGAAGCCAGTCCCATGGATGAATCCTTCAGAGTGAGATGGAGAGTTGCAACACTGAGGAGAAACAGGCTTCTTTCCACATGTTTTTATACACCACCTCATTCCATTAATGCATCGTGGTATGTCTAATCTTTACCACCCGAGGGTGGGTTTGTTTTTTTTGTAAGTCACTGTGGAAATGGAAATAAAAGAAAGTTGGGAAATTTTAATGGAAACAAAATAACATGCCATAAAGTCATTGCAGACAATTGTATAATTGTCGCAAGGTAGGCGAAAACTTTCGTTCTGAGCTGCCTCGTGACTTGAGCAAGGAGGGAAACAGGGCAGGCACGAGCTCTATTATGGTGTGCAGAAGATAAACCAACCACTAGCGATTCAGAGAGATAGAGCCTCTGAGGGTATTGAGACCGGGGCAGCATTTTCCCCGGATCCTCACAGGGAGGAGACCCACGGGTGCACAGGGCTTCTGCCAGTGCGCTGGTGTGTGGCTGCTCATGCATTTCCTGCCCCCCTCAGGCCCAGCTCAGGAGCGAGGGTGGACCTGAAGGGGCTCACCCACAGCCGCAGCTGGGACACAGAATAGGGAAGTACGATCTCTGTTCTCCCAGCACTGGTGCCAGAGACCAACAGAGGTGGTTCTTCACAATCTGGGGATGAAGGAACCAGACATCACCACCTTGAACTCCCCACCTGGCACTGGAAGCCAGTGAGAAGTTGGTCTTGACACAAATGGAGGTGTAATTAATGAGATTATTAAGGGAGTGAGAGTCAAAAGCCATCCCCAGCTGTGGGGCTTCAGTGACTCACTGGCTTATGAGCAATCCTCATATGCCTGATTTAGAGGACTTACTCACCCTTCAGAGAAAGACTTTAATGCAATAAAGCAAATGTCAGCAAGTGGGACACAGCTTAGCACATCACCCCAGCCTGCACCCAGTTTCCTACCCCTTCTCTCCCTGCTCCAGGCCCCTCCAGCCACTCAGCACCTGGACAGGCTTCCGGGTCACATTCCAAGAGGCTCAGGATTTGAAGCCCCGGAAGGAACTCAGGCATCAACTAGACCAAGCCCTGGAGAATTTTGGTCCAGCGAGGTTATTAGAGATTAGCTCCAAAGTGTTAGAGTTAGGGGCAAGGTGAGGGCTAGAAACCAGGACTTCCCTCTTGCCTGTCTGACGTTCTTCAGTCCCCTTTCCGTGAAAGCCCTGCTTGGATTATGCAGATGAGGGGCATGAGGTGAAGGAAATGCAGCCTCTCTAGCGTGGGTGGCATTCTTCCGAGGACTTGCCAAGGAATCTGTGGAGGGAGAGTGGCGAAGAGGAAAGGCTTGCAGAGAACAAGGCCTCCAGCCAAGCCTTTGAGGTGAGATGTTTAGAAAGAGCTGGGCTACCCTGGGCTAGGCCGCCATCTTGCTATTTGTGGACATGGTGCCTGAGGGGGAGCAGGCCGTCTCTCTGGGCCCCCCAGAACCGAGGGGTATGTTTGGAACTCCCACATCAGGTCCTGATTAGGAAACAGGCCCCAAGAGTTAGGCTGAGGCAGAGGCCTCGCCAGGTGTGGGTAGTAGAAGTCAATATTGTTCTTTCCTTCCTCCACCAACGGAGGAAACAACTCAGTGGACAAGTCCATCCAGCTTGGGATTTAAACCCACTCACTGACTGAGGGAATTATCTGGCAGAATTAGTTCCAAGGGTGAAAAAGAACCGGGGCAGGCACTTATGGTGAACTGTCACCTAGTTCACTTCTCTGTCCCTTGAGCATTTTTCCAACCTTTTCTAAGTGTGTCTGCCATGTGCCAGGCACTAAAAGGAGGCTGACCACAAGCTTGGCATTCAGGTTTGCTGCGATCAAGGGCCTTGAGCTTTAAGGGACCTTGGGGATCCTCTAGCTCATTTCACTGATGAAGCATCGGAGGCTCAAGGAGAACAATTTGCCCGGGCTCATGGGAGTCGAGAGCCAAGTGGGTGGATGCTCTGACCACCTCTCCGTGTGACCGGCACCTAAAGACTCCTCTTGCAAGTGAGCTTAGGGAAGCCTCTCAGTTGGAAAGCAATATTCTGCATTGTTAAGGTCACCGGCCGCGAGCAGATGCAGACTCAGCCTACAGTGGCACACCCCCGTCACCCTAGTGCTCGTCTGGATCCAGTGAAATATGCTGTGCCCCCACCTAAATGTACTCCTACCTAATTACCCCAACTCATCAACACGAAGCAGTGCTTTTTTTTCATCTTTTTATTTTGCACTATAAAAAACAACAACACCACCCAGTAACATACTGCTTTTCTTCACATTCATATGGATTTTAGGAAATTATTGCCTTTTCCCCTGGAGAGAACCTACAGACAAAAAAGAAGTACCACATTACAAAGTCTGCAAACCCCAGAAGTCCACAGCTTGAAGACAACCTCCAGGGGCAGGGAAGAAAACGTGTGTCACAAGAGATGAGACAAGCACACATTAAGGACAGCAAGCTGGGAAGACGACCGTGTCAATGCCACTGACCCGGACGTGGCGGGTCCCTCTTTCTCTTGGCACCCGCTGCCACCCCCTGAACGGGGTGATTTTTGGTCTAAGGTCTGAAGAACTCCTTTCAAATGACACAAAAGATACTTTGAGGAGAGAGGGGCGACGAGGAAGGTTCAAGTATGAGTAAGAAATCATGCGAAGTCCGAAGTCAGGGAAGAACCCACAGTGGAAAGGACACCCAGAGAGGTCGATGTCTTGCTACTTCAACCATCCGCCTCCACCCTGGACCCAAGAGGGAGTCTCGCAAACATGGGACGGTTCAAATCAGCATCTAGATGGCATCCCTCCAAGCCCTGGACAGGTTGCTTTCCTGACTGGGTGGTGATCAGCTTATGCCCTGAAGCAACAGACAGATACGGAGACTGCCGAAGTTAAAAAAGTAAGGTGGAAATTGTGCTTCCTTCAAAACGAATCGGCTTCGTCACTGCCTTTTCTCCCGGTCTGGCAACCACTCTCTCCCACGCCGCTGTGGCTATTTATTGCCTTGCGCTTGAAATGAAAAGGCGAGCTTGGAGGTGCAGGGCCCGGGCGGTCCTGAGAGGGCAGGGGGTCTGGAAGTACAGTAGTTGGCACGCGCTGTGCTCTCATCATGGCTTGGCCTTCCTTCGGTCCCCAAAACCTCTCCCCGCCGTCAGCGTCAAGTTCGTTTGCAAGCCTGGTGACTGCTCACTGTCCCGCGGAGGTTTTCAGTATTGCACAGGTATGAAATGTCCACGAGTTTCAAAAAAGCAGAATCACAGTTGTTCTTGGGGCTGGGCTGGGTCCCCGATGCCGGTTTCAGCAGGATGTGGCCGTGGCCATGGGGCTCCTGCCGAGCTCTGAGACTGTCGAGTGGGTGGGCACGGGGGCCAGTACCGAGGTAGGGAAGGTGCAGTAGGAACCCTGCAGGTCAGGGCTCAGTGTCTGCAAATGGGCTATGAATGACGAGCTTGCTGCCTCCCCTTGGCAGGAGGGAGCCTGGGGCGTGGAAGGCAGGATCTCAGACTCATACTGCAGGAGCTGGCCCATGAAGCCAAAGTTAGGCGACACCACACTCCTCCGCTGCTTGATGTAATCGAAGGCATCCTTCAGGCGGAACTGCTTGGCTTTCATGAGGTAAGCCATGCAGATGGTGGGCGAACGGGAGATCCCAGCCTCACAGTGGACCAGGACCTTGCCTCCCTTTTCCCTGACACAGTCTAGAAGGAAGAAAACACAGTGAGGACGAGTTGGGACTGGAACCCAAAGGCAATGATACCAAGATACAAGAATTAAACACAAAAGTGACCTAGTCATCAAAATGTCACATCTGTCCAAGCGCTGAGGTTCCCACATAGTCTTTAATGCCCACTGGCAAGGACAGAGCTTATGGGGTCCCCCCAGTGTCTATCCCCATGTAGGGCCTTTCTAATCTTCAGACGTGCTTCCCTGTTTTCCTGGATACTTGCACAGATTCTGCCCTGAAGGTGCTAGATCTGGGGTAATACTCCCTTTCCTGGAGATGCCATCCTAACTTGGGTTCCACGGATGGGTTTCAAGAGGACATTGCAAAATCCTTGACATTGCATGCAAATTTACTGGGTAGGTACATTTTTCTGAGAGCACCCCAGGTTCAAAGACTGACTCAGAAAAGCAATTCCTGCCTTTTGGGATCCGATTCTCATGGGGAGGACCCAGGCCCACTCCTGCTAGAGGCCTGCCGCCTCCCTGGGCACCCTGTCTGCCTGTGCCAGGGCGGGATGCTTGGCTCAGCTCCCAGGGTTCCCACCACCAAACATACGATAAATAGTGCACAGCCACTAATTATAGCCCTGGCTAAACGACGCTTACTAGAGCGGAGAATACAAATGGCTTTCGCAAACTCCATCTTGCACAACAATGGGAGTCACTGCTATAAAGCTACCACCATCAGTTAGCATTCTTTAGCTCAATATGACAAGGTCTCCCTCCTTTTCTGTTCCACTCCTCCCCCCAAAAGAACTACAACAGTTAAAAATGAGGGGCAAAAGGTTACGCATATATATATATACACACACGTCAATTAAAAACCACAAAAAACAGTCTTTCCAATTCCCTCTCTTGCTAGTGAGGAAACAATTACAACATTACAACACAGGAAGTCTGATGTATCTGGTACAATGTAAAGCCACAGTGTGCAAAAACACTTAAGGTTTTGAAGAGCAAAAAAGTCAGCTCCCTTACCCAGCTCCCTCCTCAAGTTCAAGAAGTTTGCAAATGAATCTGTAAGATCTAAAAGGATCAAGTTTCTGAAGAGTCAAGGAGGAACCCCAGGGCTTCCTCAACAGAACAAAAATCCCAAAGGACACAGTGTAGCTCATTAGAGGTACCCCCAATTTAGTCTTGACTCAAAAGAAAAAGTTCCTGTAAATTAGTTCAAAGGGGACCCCAACCCTTAGGATTGCACGGTCATGACTCCGATCTTCCTTTGCTCCTTGTAGACTACCTTTTAACTGCCCAGTGCCACGTCCAAGAAAGCAAAGGGCCTAGAGTATGCTGTTTTTGCTCTGCCCCTCAGGGCTTGTCTACCATGTGCCCTCCCAGGCGCTCCCCGGGAAGGGGTCAAGTGCCATGGTACAGGCTCAGCGCCCCCCTTTCACCAGCAGGGCAAGGAGTCTGGGGAAAAGCATCGTGTGCTCTCAAAAGGCTGTGGGTTTGTGTGGTTGTGTACACAATACACAGGATGGAGAGGGAGGCTTCTGAGAAATGGATGGGGGCGGGTTTCATGACCTCATTGAGTAGCTATCCAGGTAATTAAATAACAGGCAGAGAAGGGCAAGGCATTCCCAGGGTCAGGGAGACAATGTCAAGGGGTTCCCATTCTGAACCCATCATTTGGGCTGCCTCTCAGCGATCCAAAGTAATCCTGTCAGCCCACAGGCTCAGAGGACCAGGACAGGCTCAGCCTTCTGCCTCTGGAGACTTTCCCAGTGGGTTTCCTATAAAGGAGAAACCACGTGTGATGAGCACAGGGCCCACCATGTGGCTGAAGGGGGTCCCCTTAATTGCTACCTGCCCTAAATAGTTACTGCTGTGCCCAACACCTGCCTTTCCCCCTCCAAAAGCCCTCAAAACAAGATAAGGAAAGTCACATCTCAGCTTCAACACCTATGTGTGTTAAAGGGGAAGAAGGCAAGGCCTCAAGGTTGGGGAGTGGTGCTTGCAAATCTGAAAAAGCCGCTGAGGCAGACAGAGGGGCGAAAGAGAAGCTGTCAAACGAGGGAACAATCCAGCCTATGCTGAAGAGGTGGAAACCCAAGGTCCAGTGCCCTTTCCAGGCAGAGAGGCCAGAGGTTTCCAGGCCTGCCCAGGGGAGTAAATGATAACTGCCTAACACAACGTACGAAAGATGCCAACTTTGCTATGCACAGCGCATGGAGCTTGATCAAATGCTATCTTTAATCCAAAATTAGCTGAAAATGCAAAACAAATTGCCCCTAAAGCAGTCTGCCAAAGACTGGGAAAAGCTGCCAGGGCCCTCGGGGCTCGGTGTGTAAGTAGTGCTCTCTCAAACCTTCTGTTGGCTTTCTAAAAATGCCCCAACCTACGCAGGAGCACAGTGAGGATCGTTCTTTCCCTCCCTTGCTTCCCTGGCATGGAGCATTACGCATGGACACACTCTGCTTCCCACCCGGCTAGGAAAAATAACAAGAGCAGCAGTGAGTATTGCCATAAAATTATATTAATTCATTTATCTTGCAAATTAAAACTCCTATTAATAGCAACTCGAATCCTCCCCTCTGCCTCTTTGGTGGCTGCATCCCTTCCTGGCTCCAACTCCTGGTGGTTGCGTAGACGAGACACTTTTCTTCTTGGCAAAGGTAGCCTCCATCGATGCCTCAGAACCGAGAACAGGTGCCCCTACGGGGCTCCCCGAACAACTGAGGACGAGTGACTGAACCTACCAATGAAGTCTATTGCTTCTTGAAAGTGGGAGCTGATGTCGGCTGTGTGGCTGTCTTCCACGGGGATCCATTTGTAGTGTAGGTGGGAGGTGCAGGACTCGGAAACCCGCCGGGAGACGTTCAGCAGGGCCGTGATGTGCAGGTTGGCGAGGAACTCGCACTTGGATGCATGGTAGGCACTTCCAAGGTAGAGGAATGGAAGGATTTCAACTGGACCGCCCTGGAGGGAGGGGGAAGGACAGCCAGGAAGTACTGGGTTAGCTTGCTCCTTTAGAGACGAAACAAAACAACCCTGACCTACTTGTTGTAAGGTGGGAGGTTCCCTTTCTGGTTTCCAGGTAGAGGGTTCAGAGCCAGGGTAGTTCAACCCAGAGTGTGGGGAGAGCCTGGCAAATGCTCTACCCGACGTGGCTGCCTTGTGACTCAGTGACAGCCAAGCCCACGCAGCAAAGATGTTTCATTTTCTTACACATACCGAGGTAGGGAACGCTAGCAGCCTTCCTGTGCCGACAAGGATGAGAAGATGTGCGTGAAGGGGAAGAACGGAGAGGCTTATGCTCACGTTCCGGCTGCCCCGACAGCACCAGGGCAAGCCTTCTAACCTTGGGGCAGCCCTGGCTTCTTTCAAGTCAGAACAGGTAAAAACTCAAGACGAGTACCCCCACCTTACAGTCCTGATATTTTCATGGTGTATTTCATCAAACCTAGGACCCCGATGATTGATCCTAAGACACATGTGGGTTTCAGAGATGTTAAAGTGTGTCCCCCAGAAAGGTTGCTTCTTGGAAGTGGAAATGACCACTGTTTACCTGGAATCCCTAAAGAAAAGCTATTAAGCCAAGGGCAGAGGGGCTCCTCCTCCCCCGATCTTTGTCACGTGGGACCGAGGGTTTGTGAGAGATGCTTACATCATCACCCTTTGGGAAGGCCACCCACACACCAGGTTTCCAGTTAAAGAGGATCCCAATTAGAAGCTGAGACCATCTACCCTGAGGCAAAGTTAAAAACAGCTAGCTGGTCAGACTCTGGCAGCCTTAGCAGCTCCAGGGTGGCAAGAAAAACCAGAGATAACTGGGACAATGGGAGGCCCCAGAGACTGAGGGAGAAACACTGGGCTTTGGGGGGGGGGTGGCGGCGGCGGCAATGGCTGAGTCTCTGGGAGCCTTTCCCATATCATCCATCCGTTTCCTGTGTTCCCATTTCCTGTCCCAGAATAAAAGCGGAACGGAAACTCTGCCGGACTCATAATAGGGAAAGGGGCGTAGGATGAGGGCTAGCAGAAGGCAACTCTCAAATTACCTGACATGTGGTGTGTGCTTTTTCTTTCCTGAGAAATCAAGCGTTCAAGCAAGGGCCAGTTTGGCCACTTAGAAGAAAGTCATAGAGGATTTTACCAAAGATAGTAAGAGTAACAACCAGTGTTTTGTTTTTTTTTTAAAGTAGGCTCCACGCTCAGTGAGGGGCTCAAAATCACGACCCTAAGATCAAGACCTGAACTGAGATCAAGAGTTGGATGCTTAACCGACTGAGCCCCACAGGCGCCCCAACAACCAGTATTTTTATTAGCACCTACCAGAGCTGGCCCTTGGACTTAACACTTTAGATGTACCTCCATAGATCTCTCCCTCTCTTTAGTGCCTGGAATCTTACACAATTACTTCTAAAGCCTAGAACAACACACCCCTGAAACCATGTGTTTTTCTTTTTCTGAATCCTCTGTTTAAACTCAAGAGGAAGAAACCAAAGGCCTTCAGAAACCCCAAAGCTTAACACAACCTTGCTTGGCTTCTCTCAATGCAGAAGCACTTCTAAGAAATAGCACCAGGGGGGTTCCCCGATGAACCTTGGGAGACATGTCAGGGCCTCCCCAGTCCTCTCTTGGTCAAAGGTCTGCTGTGCCTTCACAACATCCTGACAATTCTTGTTTCTCTTTCACTTTCTGCGATGTGAGGGGAAAACACCACCCAAACAAACAGAAAATAGAAATCCAGCTAAGCCACATGCCCATGGCTTGAATGCTGAGGGTTCATCATACGCTGTGTTTTTTAATAAAGGAAAACAAAATAACAACCCTGGCACCTTGCCAAGCTAATAGACTTCCTGACCAGGGATGCCATTCAAGCGAAGTCACTTGGCTTTACTGGGAAGTTTATTCCCAGGGGCAGAGTTCTGCTCATGCCAGGCAGCATCCAGACATCTTCCTTCTTATGATCTGGACATGTACTTATGTTGTGGGAAATACTTGGAAAGCTCCTCCCACCAAGTCAGGTGCCTAGGATGGGCCCCTTCCAAAAGAGGTTCTGTTTCTGTGGAAAACAGAACGAGGCCTTGAAAAGAACCAGAGTTAAAAGAAGGGAGGCGTTCTGGGCCTACTGTTGCCAGGAGCCCAGCTACAGGATTCTTTGCAAAGAGATCATCTCCAGCTGTGAGACACGTTTTTTTCCCCTCTGTAAAATGGGAAGGTGGGCTTTGAGCTCTGGTTTCTGCCAGATTTGGGTCCTTGCCTGCCTTTCCCTCATCCTCCAGCACTGAAGGGGACCCCTGACTGAGCCTTTCACACACTTTCAGCCTTTATTTATTTTTTTTTAAAGATTTTATTTATTTATTTGAGAGGGAGAGAATGAGAGACAGAGAGCACGAGAGGGAAGAGGGTCAGAGGGAGAAGCAGACTCCCCGCTGAGCAGGGAGCCCGATGCGGGACTCGATCCCGGGACTCCAGAATCATGACCTGAGCCGAAGGCAGTTGCTTAACCAACTGAGCCACCCAGGCGCCCCACTTTCAGCCTTTAAAGAGTTGCCAGAAAGTAACATTCTTGGAAGGAAAAAAAAACCCACATATTTGCATGAGCATGAAATCCTCTACAGTGTCTCCTGATCTTCTCTGGTTTCAGAATTTATGGAATTGTAAGCAGCAGAAACCCTTAAGGCCTGCTTAGCCATCCAAATGGTAGTTTCCCCACAACCCTCCCCCAGTCCCGCTTCAGTTAAAAATAACAAAAAGACACATCTCTGACAGGTACTAGGTTGGTTTGCAGAAACTGCAGAGCATGAACAATTACAAAGATTAACACAGGAAGCCTGAAAGTCAACTCTGAAACATCTTCAGGGAAACCTAAACTGATCTTCTGAAGCTTCTCTGCACTTCCTAGGCCAGCTAATAATAATGTATCTTTCACTTCCCCTTTTCTCCAGAAGCTGTCAAGCATCCTGTGGCTCCTTTGCTCTTGTCAGCTTGTTTGCTGGAAAGAAGCCCATTTACTCTTGGATGGAAACTCAAGTTGGCAAGCAACAGCTCTCTGAAGCTAGAGGGCTCTGCCAACACCCTGATCCACAGAAGAACGCACCAGTGCTACTGAGCAGGGAGAGGCAGAGCCAGGGGGCCGAGGAAGGAATGGAGTCCACAGCCAAGATGGCATTTCCAAAACCACTTACCTGGTCATAGGCTGGCCTGTAGCTGAGGCTGAGCACTGGTTTCCCACACTGGCTCATGAGGGCTTTCTCGGTTTCAACCTTTTCTTGTGAAATGGGCTGTACGTCCACACAACACTCGGGATATTCCGAGTAGAAAGTCTCATATCCTCCTGCAAGGTAAAAAAAAAAAAAAAAAAAAAGGAAGATAGATGTTAAGCGTTGATTTCTCAGGCTTTTAGAAAATGTCTAGAATTAATCAATACCCTAAGTGTGGAAGAGTCAAGAACATTAAGCTAACATAGATTCTCGTCTTATAAAAAAAATTGAGCCAAACCCACTAATAGCTTTGGAACAGAAATGGGCTACACACACACACAAACACACATTCCCTCTTTTCTAAAAAGTTATAGTTCAGAGAGGCAATGATTAATTTTTTGCATCTAACAGAAGCAGCTGAAAGGAAATCTGACATCTGGCAATATTAACAAAATCCCTCCAGAAAACAAAAGCTATTTTCACTTACTTGTCTAAAATGCAGGTGTGATTATGCAGAATTGCATTCACTTGCAAGAAGAGACTCCTGAATTGGTCTGTTTCATCCCTAGCCCATTAGCTCTGAACTGGATGATAGATGCAATCCCCTCTATTCATAAGGGAATGGGGGCTAATATGAGGTTTAAACTCAGTGCAATAAAACAGCCCTGCCCTTTCTCACTACCAAGGAGCTAAAGAACACTGCTGACAATCCTCTCTATAGGTCCAATTTTGAGTAATCAATCTAGTTAATTACCTTCCAAACCAAACTGGAGGCACGAGGCCTTCAGAACTTAATTATCAGTCCCAATATGTAAAAACTGTTTCTCGCCCCTTCAAGACCACCTACCCTTCCTTTCTATCTTCCCTAGCTTCCCCTCCTGATCTTTCTTCTCTACAAGTCCTCAAATGATAACTACCAGCAGGTATGACTGTAAAAATCCTTAATATTACATTTAAACTTCTCCAGATGGGTCACTTAAGGTAAAAACTACTCTCTGACCAAGTCACAGAAACTTGAGCATATTAAAGAAGTCTCAGGCCCAGAACTCAATGGGAAAGAACCAAATGAAAAACATGCCAAGTGCTGCCAGGTGAACAGGCCAGGCTCACTTGGGGAAGCCCTCACTCCCAATCCAAAAGGACCCAAGGGACTTCCGAGAGCCTCCAGAAAACTTGCTATTTTTTTCTCACCCAGAGAATTCACCTAGGGTCAAATCATCAATTAAATATGCATTCCGAGCCCATGTATTTTCCACAAAGTCCCCTCTTTCTTCCGTCTCTTAGTGGTGTGATAGGCCCACAGTGGAGCCCACGGTGGCCTTAAACCCCTGCAGTAGACAAATAGTTAACGGATAACATGGCGGTCTCCAGCTCCCTCCCAGAAGCTGCAGCCAATTCCTAGAATGAGTCATCTTGCCATTACTGCTTCCTCCCAGCTTGCTGGAACTGCCCCCGCCCCCATTGAGTACACTCAAATCTCCTCTGTGGTCACTTCAACAAAAAGCCCATTGGGCCCTCCCCAGATGACCTTCTGGTCCTCCTGGTCATGACAGGAGTCCACATGCCAGGGAGTAACGGAGGTGGGAGGTGGTGGTGTTTGTGGCTTAGTTTCCTCCCACCCCCACTGTAGCCCCTGGACCCTTTCCCTCCTAGGATGTAGACAGAAGGTCACACTTAGGGACCCACAGCTTCATCAGAAGAGATGACCCTAGTTAGTAAGTCACTTCCTGTGCCTGGGCCTCCAACGATTTGGGTTCCAGGGCACAAACTGAGTGATATGGGATGGGAATCTGGAGTTAAGAGTGGCTCAGGCCCTCCCAAACTTTCCCAAGAATGAGGCTTGGGAAAGACAAGCCTTCAGGCCACCCCATCTCTTGTCTTTAAATAGCACACTTAAAAGAGATGGCTGTCAGGACAGACAGGAGGTGCGGGTGTGGGCTGGGTCCTGCCTGCCTGTTGACAAAATAAGGCAGGCAGACAAAGCTGCTCAGTGTAGTTGAGGGACAGATAAACAAGGGGCTGTCTCTTCAAGCTGGGGTCAGGAATCCTTCAGATTAGATGGTCTCTTTCACCCACTCCCCTCAGAGGCAGGGAGAGACAGACCGTTCTCTGGTGCCTCACTTGAGCTGCAAGAGCTGTGGGAATTCTTTTGGCTGCTTCGATCCTCTTCAGAGTGATTCTGCTTTTGATCACCGCTGCATGACGAGGGGAGCAGAGAAGCTGCATGGACACTGTATATAAATACACACTGACAATGCCATTCGGTCGTCATCCCATTTTAGTGTTATTTTGGGGAGGGGGGAGTGGAGGACGATAAAGGGAAGTATAGAAGTCATTATTACCCCCAAGATCTGAAATGCCACTAGATTAAAACCTGAATTCATCATATCTGGACATGAGGTAGATGAAGAAATAAAAATTTTCTTGGACAACAATTTAACTTTCGTGGTGTTGTAACTGTTAAGTACCCAGCAATTCCTACTGAAATTTACAATGCACACAACTATCAACCTGGCGATTCTCAGAATCTCACTGAAAGTGCACACGTAAAGCATTTGAACAAAAAATATACCCAACAACATTGCCTCAAATAGCGAGGTTGAAAGCAACCTACTGGCTACCACCAGGGGACTAGTTTAAGAAGTAAGGGGCACCTTACTCAGTAGGTTAAGTGTCTGCCTTTGGCTTGGGTCATGATCCCAGTGTCCTGGGATCAAGCCCTGGGCCCTGCGCCAGGCTCCTGGCTCCCTGCTAAGGTGGGGAGTCTGCTTCTCCCTCCCCCTGCTCGCACATGCTCTCTCCGTCCCTCTCAAATAAATATTAAAAATAAAAAAAATAAGTAAAATGGACGTGTATGCTCTGAAAAGGATAAATCTCCCAAGATCTAGTTAAGTGAAAGAAGCAGAAACAGGAAATATACAAAACCATTCTATTTTTTAAAGATACTGGTGGAAAACTAACTTGTCTAAAGACGAACAAAAAATAGTTGGTGGCTGTCTCTGGAGAATGGGACTGGGTTCAAGGGCGTGCAGAAGACCCACTTATCATACAGCCTTTGCGCTTTTAAAATTTTACCTGTGTTACTGTCATTAAAAAAAAAAAAAATATTTTAGACATGAATTTTCCCGAGGTGTGAGTCTACAGAGCCGCTTACTTCCTGTGGCAGTAACTTCTAAAGAGTCAGCATGACCCCCCCTGGAGAGGGGTGGGGAGCAGAGGTAGGACCAGGCGGGGGCTTCCTGGAATATATCTTTCATGCTACTGGGAAGGCAGTAGCTTTTCCTGTACTCATGGCTAAGAACAGGAGGCAAAAACCACCATCAGGAATAGAAAGAAATCCCGGGCTAAGTATGAAACTTTCTGCAGAGCTTGGAGGGCATCCCTCCTTCCCCTGCAAGTGAGGCTGGTGGACAAGGAAGATGATCTTCTGCCTGTCATCTCCCTAACAGGAATCAACAGGGGACAGTCTGCAAGAGGTGCTAATAGAGGTGGGGGCTGCGAGTGTGCTCTCCAGGCCTGGAGTGTGTGAAATTCCCCAAGTTGCATGGTTTTAAAACAGGGCCCTCACGCTCAGTTCACTGCACCCGAGTTCTGAACCACATCACTGCTGTTTCTCAAAGTGTCTGCAACAGCGTTGGCAGGGCCTCGGGGCACAGCTTGGGCTGAACCTTCATCTCTGCACTGTGGACTCTCTTCCATACGTTGGAGGTTACAAAGGACCTAAATACAAGGCGGGAGAAGTCATAGGAAGTGACCCAGAAATCAATGCTCTGTAATTTGAAAGTCAGTCACTCACTACACGGGCCGGGGAAGTCAAAGTCCTCTCTCCAGCAGGTGTAATGGACGGACCGGTGGGGCAGCTTCTGGGGCGTCTCAAACCAAAGGCGACGTTATCCCCTCCACCACCACCTGCTACACCTCTCCTAAATCCTGGGGCTCGCTGGCCGGCAGCCTCCCACCCCTGGCAGGCAGCAGGAGGCAAGCCCGGGGGGGGGGGTGCGGGGGGGGGGGGTGAGGAAAAGGGTGAAAAGGGTGGGAAAGCTGTCAGCTCCAAATGGAGCTAGAGAAAGGCCTGGGAGGGGAGAAGGGAAGGTCGGAGGAAAACAATAAAAAGCAGTAAAATGAAGTGGAAAGGAAGAGGAGGGACTGGCCCGGGTCAAAAAGGCAAGAGGGGTCGGTGAAGGCAGCCTAACATACGTTAATTGTCCAGGCGGGAGGAGAGGGGACGCCGTGGCGCCACGCTCCGGGGGGTCGCGACCGGCTGATCCCGCCTGCTCTGCCTATCGGAAAGGCTCAGAGCCCAGGCCCGAGCGAGGGTGGCTAAGCCAGCGCCAGCAAACGGGGGCCCGCGCCGAGCACGAGCCGACGGCCCCCGCGGCGGAGAAGCGGCGCCCCCGGCTGCGCAACCAACCCCACCCACCCAGGCGGCCGGGAGCTTTCGAGGAACGCGGGTGGGGAGGGGGAAGCTCTGAGGGCTGACACTGGCAGCGCCCTCCCTAGCGCACGTCAAGCCCCAGGGTGCAGACTCGGGCAAGTGGAGACTACCGGGTGCCGGGTTCGCGGAAGGCGCCCCGCACGAGGAGGGGACCCCAGAGCCCCGGGGCGTTCGCCGCGCGGGGGGGCGGAGGTGGGGGGGAGGGTGGTGACAGGGGCTCGGCGGCCCCGACGCGCTCACCTTTGAGGAAGTAGACCCGCGGGCCGGCGGGCAGGCAGGCGAGCAGCGAGGTGAGCACGACCCGCGCGGCGCTCTCCTCGCGGAGCTTCTGCCAGTGGCGGCTGCCCTGGTCGAGCACGACCACAGCCGCCACGCCGCCGCCGCCCTCCTGCAGCAGCCGCGCGCGCGCCGCCTCGTCGGGCAGCACGTAGCGCGCCGACACCGCGCCGCCGCGGGCCCGCCGCAGCACCACGGAGTTGAGGTTGACGTTGAGCGAGCCGCGCACGCTCGAGGCGGCGAAGGCCAGGTAGGGCCGGCAGTCGAGCACCACGCAGCGCGCCGCCGCCTCCTTGCGGAGCATCTTGCGCAGCTGGCGCCCGTCGAGCGACGTGACCTTCATGCCGCCGCCCCGCGGTCCCGCGCCGCGCGCCCCGCAGGTGCCCACGGCCAGGGTGCCCGCTGGCGAGGCACGGGAGGGCGACCCGCGAGGCCGCGGCCGGCCGACCGAGCCCGGCGCCGGTGCCGGTGCGGCCGCTCAACTCTTCTTTCCCGCCCCGCACGCTCGGCAGCCAGCCCGGCCACTCGCCGCCCCAGAAGCCGGGGATTCCGCCAGCAGCGCCGCGTTTTATGTGAATGACTGTGCGGCCTGTGACGTGGCTGCCCATATAAGGCCGAATATGGGTATTTCCCCGCCCCTTCGGGCTGTGGCCACGCCCCGGGGAGCCGGAGGCGTGGGGGGCGGGCGCCGGGCGTTAGTCAGCCGGAGAAAGAGGAAGTGGAAGGCGCCTCCCTCCGCTTTCTGAGGCTGTGCGCGGAGAGACACTCACTCGCGCATCACCGAGGGCTGCCGGTGGGGTGTCAGGAACGCCACGAGGCCGAGGTGACCCACGCTGTGCGGGAAGAGGAGGAAGCGGAGGAGGCAGGGCCTGGCGCCGCACAATCCGGCTTTGAGTTTCATAGACGTAGGTTCAGAACCTGCTGGGTGGGGGCCTGCCAGGCACGGAGCCAAGGCCGGGCCGAGGGGAGCCCAGGGCCAGTGCCCCCAGATGAATCGGAAATGGATTTTGGTCTTCACCCAAGTCTTGACGCGTGAAATGAGATGATAGCTGGGACTGGCTTCAAGGGATGGTTTATGGATGACTCAAGATTGGGTTTGTGTTGGTAACCGTTGAAGTTCAGTGATGGGTACCTTATACTGGGTTCATGATACTGTTTTCTCCACTTTTCTGTTTGCTTGAAATGTTCCATAACAAAAGTACCTAAGAGTAAAAATGGAGAGAAGAGCCAGCAAAGGATTAACAGCCTTTTCTCCGTCACACTTCAATAATAATTAGAATAATTGTTTTTTGAGGAGCTCTTTTCTGGCCCCTGGAAAGTCTGTCACGGAATCAGCTGCAGCATCAACATGCATCCGTTGATGGAGCTCAGTCCAGGCAACTATCCAGGTGGCTTCTGGATTTGGGGGATTATCTGTGGATCAAGTCTAATCCCAGGCTGTCTGCCCCCACCAGTCCCCAGCAGCGTCAGGCTTCCCATCCCCAATCTGGGTGAACTGGACACGTTCCCTCATTCAGCAAGTATTTCTTGAGGGTCAGCTTTGTGCCAGGGCTCTGCTAGCTGAAGGGACAGGTGTGAGGGAAACATGCCTCTACCCTCTAACCTGTGACCGGAGCGGGGAGGGGGCTGCTCTGGAAAACAGCCTGCCTCTGCTAGAAAGGTGCTTGTTTACTACAGCCAGAGGAGAATGAGGTTTTTAGAAGGAAGCAGAAATCAAATTCTGAAATCACAGACAATCAAACCGGACGCTAGATAGTTGCTATTGGGTCACAGCGGCATTCAATCAGAGGCGCTGTCCTGGCCCAGACAGTAGAGACTTAAGGAAGAAGGGATGTGGGCGTTTTCTTTCTCTGTGGGGTTATTCCTGCCAGCCTTCCCTGCAGTTGTCTCCCAGTGTCACCAGCAACATCCACCACCAGACGTTTCAGCCAGAGCCACACAAGCCTGGAGCACCCGCAGGGCCAGGCTCTGTGTTGGGTGCTGGACACCAAAGTGAGCAGGACCCACTCTCTGCTCCGGTTGCCCCAGCCCAGAGAGGAGGCTTGGCGCGGCCACAGGCATCTGTAAGGTCCTGCAGTCAGTACGGAAAAGCATCCAGGGTGTAGGGAGTGGGGACCTGGAGAAGGCCTCCCAGAGCAGGGGAGAGCTGAGGGGAACTTCAAAGAATGAATTGAGGTTAGCCAGGCCACGGAGGGGGAGGGTGGAAGACATTCCAGGCAGAGGAAACTGCTAGAGGTAAAGAAAAACAAAACAAAACAAAATGCCTGCTCGGTGTGTGGGAGACCAAGGCACTTCTGGCATTTATTAGAAAATTAAGCAGGGTCAGATGACGGAGGGCCTTGTGTGCCATTTATGGCATTTGGATCTATCCTTTGGCTGGAGCAGCCCTGGATGAGGGGTCTTACTCAGTGACCTGGTTGGGTGACATTTGGGAACCTCACTGAGGCAGCACTGTGGAGGATGTTTTATTTGAGAGTGGGGGTAGGGGTCCAGACTGGAGTCAGGGAGACGGATAGGAGGCTTTTGTGGGTAATCCAGGCCTGAGCTGATAAGGGCCTGCCGGAACTTGGCAGTGATAGCAGCGACTGAAGAGGCCACGCAGATGGGAGAAACGTTTAGGAAGTAAATTGCCGGAAGGGATGGGATGGGGAGACAGTAAGGGGGACGCCAAGGTTTTCAACTGGGGTAATTGGGTGAATGGTGACACCTTTAGATAGGGAACCTACAGGAACAGATCTGGGTGAGTAGCTGCAGGAGGAGGAGGGGGTAACATTCAGACGTGTTAATAAGTTAGAGGTGATCATGGACCACTCAAGGGGGTACCCAGTAAGCAGGGCGGGGGGGGGGTGGCCTGACAGCCAGTGCAGAAAAGTCATCTGTCAGCCTCTCTTTCCACGTCCAACAGATCACCAGGTCCCAGGACTCTGCCTTCCAGATTTCTCTTCTGGCGTGCCCTTTCCACTCCCGGGGCAGGGCTAGCTGGCTTCATGGGTGTCTGACCTGTATTGCTACACTGGGCCCCACGCTTGGTTTAATGCTCTGCTGTCACTCTCTTGAAATTCTTAATAATTTTTGGACGAGGAACCCTGCATTTTCTTTTTGCACCAGCTCCCATAAATTATGTAGCTGGTCCTGCCCATGGCTATAGTTAAAAGGCCCCATCATCTCCCATACCGGGCTGTATAGTAGTGTCCTGTTTCCCAACCTCCAAGCCCTCTCCTTGCTCTCTCATCCTCTGCAATGTGATCTTAAGCATGGATCTGAGCATAGAGCCCACCTGCTCTGCTCAGAAACCCTCAATGACACCTACGCACTTTCTGATAAAGTCCGAATTCCTTAGTAGAACACCAAGGTCCTCCTCGTTCTGGCCAGTTGGCCAGAACCCACCTGTAACCTTGTTTCTCTCCTTCCTTTCTGCCCCTCCCCCAGGCTCTAGTTGTTGCCTGTTTCCTAAACTTGCCCAGCATTTTATTGACTGCTCCTTTTCGACAGGACTACAACTCATTCCTTTGTGTAGGGATCCTTCACCTTCACACACAGCTCCAGAGCGACCATTGCACCTCCAAGAAGCTACCCCCTTTACCCCCTTTATCCCCCCAGTTGCCCTCCTAGGGGGTCTCACCTTTGTGCAGTTTCTCTCTCCCCCAACCTGACACGTGAGTGTCATCTGTCTTCCGTTAACCTCCCAGGCCACACTGAGGATTTATCTCACCAACTGTGCCTGCGTCATAACATCCAGCACGTGGTGGGAGCCTGATCCATGTGGTAGGATGGAATTCAGTGCTTGCTGAGACTTGCAGCTGGCTTTTTAGGAAGCACCTGGGAAGAAAGTTGGCCACAGTATATAAATCACAGCGTTAGACCCTGGGTAAGGAGGCAAGATAGGAAGCTGTGGACACATGGTTTCCTAGGGTCAGGAACTGGGCTTCATCGGCCACAGGCCTAGCAGGAAGAGGAAGGTGTCTGAGATTGGAATCATGTAAATATTCATGCCTGTCCACCCTACTGCTTTGAATGGGGGTGAGGATGGGTTCAGGGGGAAAAAAGCAGAATTTAAATTAACATTGTGAGTACATGAGGCAGGGCCTCTTCTCCCTGCCAATTATACTCAGAGGGAGACAAGATTTTTTAGGTTTCTGGGTGCTCGTTTGACCAGTCATCCTAACCCTGACGCCCTGGTTCATCGTTGTGATCTGGGATTCTTACCCTTTGGAGGGTCAGGGGTGGCCCTTTTAAAAATGTTGTGGGCCTACAGCGTTCAGCTTCCAGTGTCAGGGAGTTACACAGACCTGGGAACTCCTGTGTCCGTCTCAGCTCATCTCAGCCTCAGTAGGAGCTTCTGGGATTTCTCCCCAGCCCTGCTTCCCAGCCCCCTGCCCATAAGGTGGGCCCAGGTGGCCAGTGACGATGGATCAGAAAGGACCCAAAAATGCCAGGGAGGGGCCCAGGGCAATCCCAGGGCCAGCCCAAGGATCCTCTTAGAAGGATGAATTTTGTACCCCTCTTCATTTATTTGTTTCTGATTATGCAGGTAGCACATGCTCATTGTGGAAAATGGAAGTAAAAATGCTGCCGCCTTCTCCTCCCCCTCTCCTCCTCCTTCTTCTCTGCTCTCTCAGGCTTATGATCCCAAATCAAGGCTGCCAGCCAGGTCTGGACCCTAGACTTGCTTCCCACCATCTGGCATAAAGGAAAGAGCACTGGACTAGGAGTCAAAGATCTGGATTCCCATCCAATCTCTGCTGTGGCCAGCTTTTATTCTTGAGTTAATATTTGTAAATGACTTTTGTGTGCATGGATGTTTTTCTCCCCACGGACCTCTCTCTCCCTTGCCCCCAGGTTTCTCGGAATGGGATCAATACAGTGGTTCCTCATGAGTCCACAGCACTTGCTGTGTGACTGGTGAGAATCACTCATCTTAGAGCCATGGTTTCCTCTTTTATAAAATAAGGACATTAGTGTCTGTTTGCTGATGGTGACTGATGATGACAGAATGTACATAAAGCTGTATTGCATGATGCAAGCCAAAGATATTTGTATGGCTACTGTTGCTAATACTATCCATCAGCAAAGCATTTACTCATTTACTTGGTCAAATCCTGGTGCACTGGTACATTCAGTTTCCTCCTCTGTAGCTCATAGGTTAATATATGTAAAGTACTTAGAACACTGCCTGGCACCTATTAAGAACTCGATAAATGTTAGCTAGTTGAACAGACTGTAGTATTTGTTCCAGCCAAGAAAAGACTTTTCTAATCACACAGGGAAAAAAAAGATGGGGGTAGGCATGGCAGGGAAGAGGAGCTGCCTAACTCAGCTGGCAATCAAAGAATTATTAGAAGCCTATGAACTTGTTCTTCGGAAAGTCTACTGAGTATAGGGAGATAGTTAAGAGTAAAAATCCCCAGACTCACTTATAGTAAGGTAGGGGAGACAAGAAGCCATTTACACAATAATTACGCAATTGGGTGGTTTTGAAAATGTTGAGAAATGAAGACATTTTACAAAAAGAGATG